AGAGAGAGAAGAGAGAGAGAGAGAGAGAGAGAGATATGGGTTGGAAATTGAAAAGCTATATGATTATTCAGAATTTTGCTGGTATCCTACTTATGGTTCTTGGGAGGAAAACAAATATAAGATAACTTCTTTTCCAATCAAGGAGATGTCTGAAGGAGATCTTCTCTCTGCAATGATTTCTGAAGTAATTCAGCCAGAAATTGATTTTATCTGTATTTTTGGTTTTGGAATGATGATAGTTGTGTATGCTCCCAATCGGCTTATTCCATTTTACCATTGGTTTACTGCAGAAAGTTACACCAGTCGTATTTGCTGGTTTTCATGGTTAGTGTTCACGAAAGAGAAATTCTGTTCGTTTTTTATTTAGTTCTGTCTGCTTGGGAGCTTTGATGGGGAACATTTATGGTTTTTAATTTGTGTTTCTTGCAATTTTGATTGATCAGACATCGCAAAATCTTGTTCTAGTCATGGGATTTGTCAAATAGTAAAGGACAATGTTCTATTTCATTTAGGGAAACTTCAATTATTTTGAATATAATGTGAAACAGGACTCCGGAAATGTTAGTATGATATTTATTAACCACATGTTGCATCTTAATTCCTTATTTATTGGGAAAGACTACGTACATTAACAGTCTCTGCAATTTTTCTCGAACTCTTATATTATTTCTTGTCGTGAAATTTTTCAGCAAGCATGCCATTGACAAAATCATTAAGTATTGCAATAATCGATAGCAATCCTGCCTTGGGATCAAGAAAACACATTCCAAACGACAGTATTCCTGATCCAAGAGTTAGCACTGTGACACCTGCAACTCTGTCTCATTTCAAGGGTATGGAAGCACTTACAATTTCTGTTTAATGTTTCATATAGTTTATTGTGCCTGTAAGTATAGTTTTCTTATAAACAATGCTATTCCATACATATTTTTATGTAATGAATCCCACCAAGGTGTTTCACAGATCTGAAATTCAATTAGAAACCATTGTAATCATGGAAAAGGGAATTCTATTTGCACCCCGATATTTGCAATTTGTACCTATTTTTCCAAAATTCCAGCCCTGGTTATCAAACTAGACTAGGAAAAGGCTTATGACTATGTAGATTGGAAAATTCTAGATGAGACCTTCTTTAGAATGGGCTTCGGCACAACATGGAGAAAATTGATTCAACAGTGCATTCCAAGCCTTGTTTCTCCGTGCTCATTAACGGCTCCCCAAAGGTTTTCTTCCAGCTTTGCGAGGCTTGCAATAGGGTGATCCTTATCACCATTCCTTTTTGCAATAGTAGCTGAGGTGTTTAGCGCTTCTATTTCTAGAGTATATGGATCGGGCTTCCTCACAGGTTTCAGTATTGGAGGTCGGGCCCTACCATTTCTCACTGCAGTATGCTGACAACACTCTCTTTTTTTGCAACTCCTCTCAACAAGTTGGCTGGCTACTCCTCTTTCTCCAATGTTTTGAACTAGCCACTTTCAGAGTTAACATGGAGAAATCTAAGATGATGGGTGTTAGTATTGACAATGTACTAGTTCATGGTCTAGCTGATAGTTTGGGGTGCATGGTTGAACAACTTCCATCCACCTATCTCGGACTTCCTCTTTGTCTTGGTTTGCCAAGACTCAGCCATTGGAGTCCAATTATTGACAAATTTGAAAGGAGGTTTGCTTCTTGGAAAGGGAGATTCTTATTGTCAGCTGGTAGATTGCCTTCAGCAAGGCAACCCTAGCAAATATCGCTCCATTCTTCATGTCTCTATTCCATATGTTTGCTTCTGTCCCAGCTAGATTGAAAAACATCATGAGGAACATCTTGTGTTGGCTATAGTCCACTTAAGGACTAATTCCCAAAACTCTAGGAGGTCCCTGCATCTGACACTTAAGATCCATCAACATCGCTCTGCTGGGAAAATAGTGGTGGCACTATGCCACTCAACCTAATCACCTATGGAGAGAGGTGATCTACCGCAAATATTGCTGAGAGGATCATGCTTGGCTCCCCTCATGCAGAACTAGTGGCAATTTTTCTGGTTTTTGGAGGTCCCTACTACATGGCCGCCACCTCTTCCTGAACCAGGTTCGATACTGCCCAAGAATGGGTAACAGGTTCCTCTTCTGATCTGACACTTGGGTTGGCTGTAGCCCACTGAAGGGCTAATTCCCAAAACTCTTCCACCTTGCCCTACACGTCCCAGCTCTCTTCCGCCTCGCCCTACACTTCCCAACTCTCTTCCACCTCGCCCTACACCCAAGCTCAACAGTAGCTGACAATTTTGTTCGCTCTGGCCCCACAAGAACATGGAACCCTAATTTTAGGAGGCCCCTCACCAACAATGAGATATCAGATTTTACAGAGCTCTCAGGCTTGTTACACACGTTCTTCCTCCCCCCTTCTGGAGAAGATAAGATCATTTGGTCCCCACTCCATCCGGGGTCTTTTCTGTCGCCTCTTACTATTGAACTATTACCTCGCCAGCCTCTCTCCCTAATACCTCTTGTTCTATTGCTGCCAAAGCATAGTTCCCTTTCATTCCACCTAAGATTCAAATGTTCAGCTGGGTCACTCTTCATGAAAGAGCCCTAACTCTCGACTAAATCCAGAAGAGGCATCGCCCTACCTAATAGATGTGTTATGTGTCTGAAGGCCGAAGATACCAATGCTCATCTCTTTATCCACTGCAATGTACCATTCGTGCTCTGGTCTGATGTCCTTAACCCCTTTAATTGGTGCTGGGTCACTCCTCAGTCGATCCCTCATCTCTTTTCTACTTGCCTCCACACTCCATGTGCTAAATCTAGCAGCATGGTATGGAGGGCTGCGATCGCTGCCACCCTGTGGACGATCTGGCTCAAAAGACATTGCAGAATTTTCAGAGATGAGAGAGCCTCAATCCCCACCTGATCGACAAGTGCCGAAACAAGTCTCCTTGTGGGCCAAAAACCACAAGCTTTTTAGAGACTTCTCCTTTGCTGTTCTCTATCACAATTGGGAGACCCTCCTGAACCTAAGACCTATAAGGATCCTATGAGCTTCTTTATGGGGGCCTCCTGATATTGGACAAACAAAACTAAATTTCAACAATTGCTCTTGAGGCAACCTGGGAACCTCAGGTATTGGGGGCATTTTCAGGAACTCTGAGGGCTCCACTCTCCTCTCTTTTTCCTCACCTATAGGTTTTACGACTCCACCACAGCTGAGGCTGTGGCCCTGCTGGAGGGGCTTCGAAGATTCGACCCTAGCTGAAACACAGATTTGGTTGCTGAAGGTGATTCCAGAAACATTATAACCTCTGCCTCTGGTGAGGTCCCATGCCCTTGGAGACTTGCCCATATCTTCGACCAAATTTCTGTCATTACCAGCACCCTAAATGTAACTTGCAGACATAGTTTCAGGGAAGCCAATAATGGTGCCGACACTCTAGCCAGGGAAGGAGCAGGGGTTAATAGTTCCACGGGGACTTTTGGCATCTTTTTTAGCTAGCATCCCATTTTTTCCTGTTTTGATGTAGAGCATTTTTTGGGCCCATTGAGGCTTTGTACATGGCAGTCTCTCACTGGGGTGCCCTAAATTTTGTATTTGCTCTTGATTGTACTTCTCTTTACTATTTGATAGAAAAGTTAACTTATTAAAAATAAAATAAAATCATTACTGCAAATAGAAAAACTACCTCAAGTATAGGGAGGAAGTACTCAGGAGCTTCATTAAGAAGTTTACATTTATGCTATGAAAAATTAATTTGAGTGGCGTTGAAGATAGAATCTTATGCTTAATGTTTAGGGATAAGACTTTTCTTTATGTTGATCATGTTAGAATTCATAGCAACGTAACTTATGTACTAAAGGGGGATGGGCGTTATTCTTTTTGGGCTTAATTAAGGGTAAAAGTGTTCATCTAGTTGCACATTGTGCCGATAAACAGAGATGGCACATGTGAATATAGGGGAAGGAGAGAAGGGAGGCAAAACCATTGTTCGCAAAACCGGCCGGTTAGATCGGTACCGGCAAGGTACTGACTCCGGTTAAGGCCAGTTTTGTGTTACTAATCTTCAAAAAGAACCGGTACCAAAAGCGGCCGGTTTTCAGCTGACCGGACCGGTTTGTCGATATAACGTCGTTTTAGAGTAAATAACGGTAATATATAAATAACGGCGTTATTTTGAAATAGATACCATTTTATGTAGCAGGAAAATTGTGAATCCAAATTTTCACCTTTTTTGATTAGGTTTGCAGCCTTTTTTTGGTTTGTTTTGTGTTTTAATGGTTTAAATCACTATATAATGAAATATAAAACAAGCAATTTGGATTTAAGCATTGAAAAAAAAAAGAGTTTCTTGGATTGAAATGGCGGATTTTTTAGGTTCTTGAAATTTTCTGCCATTCTTTCAATAATCTCCTCAATACCTAATGGTTCTTGAAGAAATTTTAGGGATTTGATTGCTATTCGAAGTATTTACTGGATTCAAGTTTTAATTTGTTCAGAAAACAAAAAATCAAGGGTTTATTTTTACCCGAAAACCTGCTGCTCCGACAACCTGTGTTCTACCCAAAAACGCAGATGTTTTGTCCATTTATTGGTTGTTTTTTATCAAATTCAGTTGTGGATTTCAATCGTTAAGGCTTCATATCTCAAATAAAATTGATATGTTTATTTATGATTGAGTAAATTTTTTTATATCAATTTTTTCGTTGCACCATATCATGAAAATTTCATAGATCTGAAATTTCTGCCTTTTTTCGATTAAATTAAAAGTACCAAATATTTTTTGATGATATTTGGTGCGTTTGAAAGATGATCGAAACCTTTACAATGCATGTATGTTTATTTGTTCGATTATCCAAACATTGAGGGTCGTTTCTTGCTCGAGATGTTGCTTCATTTTTGGGGTTTTTGAAAAGTCGATTTTGCTAAAACAAATATTTTGTTTAAGAAAATTATGTTTTTTGATGAAATTGGGAAGTGTTTTTCTATTTATTTCTAATAAAATTATTTTTGATGAAATTGGGAAGTGTTTTTCTATTGTGCTTAATAAATTATTTTTAATAGAATTATGATTTTTTAATAAAATTATGTTTTTTGATGAATGTGGGTAGTGTTTTTCTATTTTGCTTAATAAAATTATTCTTTTGATAAAATTATTTTTTTGATGAAATTGATTCTTCTTTTTGATAAGTGCATGATAATGTTGCTCGATTTTTTTAATTATGTTTTTTTAAGTTGATATAGTTATATTTGTAATGATGGAAATGGGATATTTTTGTTTTTTAATTGCATGTAAAAATTTTGGTTGCCTTATGTTCAATGAAACACTACACCGTCTTTTATGTGCTTGGTTCTTCTCTTTTTGCTTTCCTTTTTTTATTTTTATTTTTTTTTATTTTTTATTTTTTTTATTTTCTATCAAGTTTTTGGAATGTTATGGAAATAGTCTTTAAAAGGTCAGCCGATTTTAAAAAATCGGCTGACTAACTCGGGATCGGTCATTGGCCGATTCTGATCTGGCTCGATTCCAGAGAGAGAGACAGAGAGAGAGTTTTACAAAGATCTTAATTTCAAATCGTCCCTCATTTGAGAAATTGATTTTTCTAAAAAATTTTCATTTTGCTTAGTAAAATTATGTTTTTTTATCAATATGGGAAGTTTTTATCTATATTGCTTAATAAAATTATCTTTCGAACAAAATTATACTTTTTTAATAAACAATTATGTTTTTGATGAATATGGGAACTGTTTTTCTATTTTTTCTTAACAAAATTATTTTTTTATAAAATTATGGTTTTTTAATAAAATATGTTTTATGATGAATGTAGGAAGTAGTTTTTCATTTGGCTTAGTAAAGTTATTTTTTGATAAAATTATGGTTTTTTAATAAAATTATGTTTTATGATAAATATGGGAAGTGTTTTTCTATTTTGCTTTATAAAATTTTTTTTTGATCAAATTATTTGTTCTACTGTTCTTATTTTTGATAAAATCAATGCACAAGACACTGATATGGATATGGTAGATACAGATAAGAACAGTAGAACATATCAGTGTGCTGTGCGTTGATTTTTCGTTTTGTTGCACATTATGAGATGTACTTTTGTGAAGTATGCCTTTTTTAACTTCATCGAAAAGGTACTGTATGAAAGAAAAAGCTTATATAAGGTTGCAACCTTACCTCTATAGCTACAGATGCACCCCAAAAATCATCTTGACATCGAGATGTATGACCATGAAAAATAAAAAGATTTTAAGTCTTAGAAATAGTGCATTTTACAACATATTATCTACACCGTACATTTTCAAGATTTTCATATGTTTATAGATCTACTTGATTTTAACTATTTTTGAAATTTAAAATTTTATAATTAGATATAAAAATAGATTTTGAGATAATCCTAATAACATTTTACGTCAATATTATATACCATGATAAAATTTGAAGGTGCACCTTACCTCTATAGCTACGGATGCATCCGTATGCCAACTGCACCCTTGTATGAATTATGCTTTATCTAACCATATCGAAGAGGTCCTTTTTATTTCTTGTCTTAATTAGTTGGCATTTTTATTTGATTTAATAGCATCAAGCTAGTTTTGTTATTTGCAAAAAAGTGCATAAACTATCATTCCTAATGTGAGCGATATTTGTTTAAAAAAAAAAAACTAGAAAGTTTTTCGTGTAAGGTTTGGGATAAATATGTTAATTCTCGGAAGATGTTACATGACAAAAATATCTTCAAAAAATGCCCTAAGCTATTTTCATGTATAGGACTATAGTATTCGAATATTACTTTATAAAAAGTTGTTTCAATTTTTATTTTTGTAAGATAAATATATGTAATAAGATATTATACACTTAGTCTAAGTATTTTTATATTTAATTTAAATTTTTTTGGGAGTTTTTGACCCATTTGTTTTATAAAAAATCTACTTGACCTGTTAGTTTGGTTAACTGCCCCAGTTAGTCTGGTTTTGGTTCAAACCGCTCTCAGCCCCATGTCTGGTTAACCGTTCTGTTTCGATTTTGCGAACATTGGGCAAAACAGGGGTGGGAGTAATGGCTAAGGAGAAGGTATATCATGAAAAGGTTAACAGGCGTGCATCGAGTTTGTAACAGAAAGCGATGTCCTTCACACCCTATCTCGAGCCAAGAAATCCACTTCAAAGAATTGCTTCACAGGAATTGCTAAGACACAACTGCATTGCATTCACTAATTACCATTTCATCTTAAGTCTGTGAGTATCAGCAAATATATTTTAAGATAAAAATTAATTTGCAAGGATCCTACTAATCTAGACCTTCTTAAGATTTGGACACCTGGCTTGATGGCTAGGGTAGTAACAGCTGCAGCACAACATCCCAGGTAGGTTTCATCCTCTCACTTATCCAAAAAACAACAATACACGGGCTTTCCCTATCTATAATTTGACATGACATTCTGCAGAAAAATTTGTTTTCCGAGTAGTGTGGGATCTAGCAACTATACCAATATTCAACATCTCAGAAAATATTCTCGATAGCATCAATTGGTGCTATTCCTCTCCCTCAAGTAACCAGATAATGCAAAGAGAGGGTCTTGTTCTCTCATAGGTATTAAGTATTTCAAAGACTCAAACAATGTGGGCAGACTGATAAGGGAAGGTTCCCCTGATGTCATTGTGAGGGCACATGGCATTTGATGATCTCTCTCTCCTTTAGCCTAACGGTTTACACTTCTGAGCTCGTTTGGTTTTGCATTTCCAATAGCATTCCCATCAAATTTGAGTGTTATGGTTATGACTGTCGTGGGAGGTTACTCCAACTCATAGTGATGTTCAATTTATGCTGCTAATTGCCACCAATAAACTGAACCCATTGGAGCTATTAGCATTTGACAATCCTTTGGTTTGTCATTAACAGTTACTCCCTAAACCCTTTGTGTCCTGTTTCGTTTATCATTCCCATCAAAATGGTGATTCTATGGCTCCTTCAGATGAGGGAGACCACTCCAACACACGTTGGGTTGTGCTCGTCTTCCTCTACGCATGTTCACCTGTTGATCAGATTCATTGAAGCGAAATAAGGTGGTGATATGACGACCTCAGTCTTACGGTTTCATGGGCATGATAAAAACTTGTTTCAAAACATGGGGTTGTTTGTATAGTGAGCAACTAATTATATATTGTTTGTTTTCTTTTAGTTGCTCTTATGAAAGGGGCATATCCAGGCCAAAAACTCCTTATATGCAAGCTCCCAAGAATTTGTGCCATTTCTCACACTCAATAAATCTATCCAGGCTTTTGATATGATTTATTAATAATAAAATATTCATCTATTGGCTTGGCTCATATGATTTTTCACTGGAAATACTGTAATTTTGTGCATTTTTACTGGCATTATCTTTGACAAAAGCATTGTTTCTTGACTTTTGCAGATATTGGTGCTTGGGAATATATTAAAAAACATAGCCATGCATTTTTTGATAAGATGCAGGTAACATTTTTTTCAGATGGTTTACGTGGTTTTGTTTCCTAATTTTCGATTCTAATTGTTTCAAGTTTCTTTTGGCTTCATAGTTATTACCATTTCTTTGGCGGAGGCTTATATCTGATGCATAAAAGTAGTCCCACTAACGTGGTATGTAAATTATCCTGTGTTCAGAAAGTACTCTCTTAAGGACTAAATGTTAGAGACCTAAACCTGACCACTATGCTAGGAGTGTGATTTAATGCCTAGTTCCATTTGGTCTCTTCTTCACTATGAAGGGGTACTTGCCTCTACCATGTGAGAATGATTTTATGTTCCAATGGTTGGTCATGTGGTGCATTGGGTGAACACCTGAAGATCTTGTCTTTTTTTGAGAAAGTAGATTTTACACCTGAAGATCTTCATCTCATAGATGCGAGGAACTTGGTTAGGGGGTTGCGATACCCATAGGAATCTTGCTCCGGCAATCCTGGGGCCGGAACCCAAACATAACTTGCTTCTGCCATAAAGCAAGCTTGATACCTATCTTTTAAATATCTCAATCTCTGTCTAAAAGGATCTTGATTGCTTTGGAAGGTGATTGCTATCCCACTGAAAATGTTACACAATCATGGTTTGAACTTTGAAGGGATCTCGATCCTAGGGGAGGTTTCAAATGTTTTTGGATTTTGAATCCTACATTTGAAATGTTTGTGGCTGCGGAACAAGCCACCTATGCTTGCATGGATTGGGTTTCCGAGAGAACACCCGTCAAAGTTAAACTTGATGTGGCCCACTTTGGGTGGTCTCCAAAGGGAGGGCAAGAGAATGTGAACCAGGAAATTCAGCATCCTAGTCCAAAGATATAAGAAAGTGATCTAGTTTTGAAAGGGTGGGGTTGATGGAGTGGTCTGACCAGGTGAAAGAGGCCCCCTAGAGGGGCATGTCAATCAGTTCTATCCTTGAGAGCAGTTCAGAAAATTCTGTCATCGATTGAGAGACCACTGAGTTAGAATTTCTCTCGAATGACCATCTTGTAGTATTGAAATCTCCGCCAATGCACCAACAATGTGGAGGGACCGAAGCCTCAAGATTCAGTTCTTCCCAGAATCATGGTCTAATTGAAGAAGAGTTGGGACCATAGACGACAGTAAATTTCCAGGGAAAGGAGTCGGAAACTCTCGAGAGTGAAATGGAAACCAAAAATTGACCAACTCTAGAGGATAACAAGTTGTGAAGGGTTGGGTCCCATATGACCCAAATGCCACCCGATGCCCCTAGAGCATCTAATGCCACCCACTGACAAGTTCTAGACCCCCAAACCTGTCAAATGAGGGAGAGGGAAGGCCCAGGGAGTTTAGTTTCAACCAGAGCTAAAACAGAGGGGGAGTGAGAGGAAGTGAAATTATGGACGTGCCTGCGTTTACTGCGGTTGCTCAATCCCTTGATATTCCGAGTCAAGATCTTCATGAGTGGGATAGAGAGGAGGGGCCAGATCTGGATGATCGCCGAGATGAGGGACGATCAGAAGTGGTCCCCTGATTTCTTGCGACATTCTGGCCGTAATTGATCCCAAATTCCAGATTGGCTAGTTCTCATTTGCCCTTTGCTGTAGTCCTGGATTGGGTCTCTTGATCTGGAAAAACGAAAGTTTTTAGGACCTCTTGGGGTCCATTGAAACCCATGCCCCTGACCTTCATGACTGAGTTGATATCACCTTGAGCTTTATCCATGTGCTCTACGAAAGACGAGCTAACAGAGGCGGGAGAGGCCTCAGAAGGAGACTCAGCTGATGATAGGCTAAGGCAGCTGGGAGTGAGAGGGCTGCATGCATCTTCAGAGGTAGGTAGGGGGTTATGAAGCTCCATTGGCATCGTAGCCTGTCGAGAGAGAGAGGGAAGATTCTCTACTCCTGCAACAGGATGAGGATGTCGAGGCTCCAAAGAATCCATGGACTTCCGCAAGTTGGAGGAGAGAAGCACTGCGCCCTCAACCTGTTGAGGCGAGGGAAACGAGAAAGGGGAAAGGGGCTGGCAATGGTTGGGGATCGTGAGATGTCTAGAAGCTGGCAACCCCGAAGATACAGGTGGAGATAACGGCAAATGAGAGTAGGGATTAAAACCGGCTGGGAAAAGGTAAGGAAGAGAGAGAGAGGGAGGGAGCCTGCCAACAAAAGTAGCATGCCCAGGGAAGGGGGGTTGAAGCAAAGGTAGAGATGGGAATGGCTGAAAGGAGCAAGACCAGCCAGAAAAGAAATTTGAGAGAGGGGAGGGAAGAGGAGAGCAGGTGAGATTTGCATAAGGAGGTGAGGGCTCCTGATTGCGTGGGATTGAATTAGAGAAAGTTGAGCGGTAAAGGAAGAGAAAGAGGGGAAGAGTTAAGGGAAGGTGAAGGATTGAGGGGGATGCCGGTAGACAAAAGATAAATGAGGGGTGGGAGTGCAAGGCTTACCGTTGGCGGACAATGGCAGGGTAGCTCAGTCGCCGGAAAGAAGGTGTGGCCTGAGGGTTGCGAACTTGGTGGAGACGAGACAGCCAACGGACGGTCGATTAGGTGGTCCACTACCGAAGTTTGAAAAGGCTCGGGTCCATAGAGGTGGGGTCGAGACGAAGAAAGAGATGACAAAAGGATTGGAGCATACATATGGTACACAATATGAATACATATTGATATGTTAAATATGAAGCCGCTCCATGCCCACTTCCCGAGGGATTTCACTCCATTTTTATGTGTGTAGCTTATGCTTGCTTCTTTCTTGTATGGATCACTGAGTTGACAAATGGACTTCACAAGGTGACATGGTCTGTCTTATTGCATCACCAAATATGTGTTGTGCTTATGTCATTCGTTAGTATCACTTATGTGCATTAATAGAGAGGGTAAGATTTTGAAGGCCACGCAAACCCCAACACTAGCACAAGTACGAACATCCTAGATATTTATCAAAAACATTGTAAAAAGGGTTTTGAAGCGACGAAAATTATGATGATTATCCAACTCAATCAACAACTTATGCTAAATACCTTTGGTAGAATAGTTGTCATCATCATACAAAAAATGGAGAAACCCTGTTTTCATGTTTTCAACATTCTAAATTGGGAAGTATTTAATAAATTTATAAAGCTCTAGACTAGAAACAAAAAAAAAAGAAAAAACAAGTACAGAAATGCATTTTTGTTTTGACATACTGAGAGCACAATGAACTTAACAAATCCTCCTTTTTATAGTGAAATAATTACTTAATATCTTAGTACTAACAATTCCTTGGTTTTCTATTTTAGTTAATAGTCATCTATGACATGCATTGAATCTATGTGTTATGCATCTTTTGACTGGTTAATGATCTTAAGGACTTGGGGTTTAGGGTTCTAGCCTTCATTTTCTTTTGTCAAGTTCTTGTTACTATGTTGCTTTTTTGGTTGGTCACCACTAGTTTGTTTGAATTTAGTATTTCAAGGACAGATCTAATTTTTTATCTTAAACAATTTTGGTCCTCTAAATGTCCTTGGTCTCTTGATGAAATATGTATGCATGAATATTTAAAGCTTACTCTTCTTCTATGAAGTGCTCCATTGTTACAACAGGGCATTTGTCACCAATGTGTCAGTCTTTGCTTTAGAGTGGAGTAGCATTTTAGGAGGAATGATCAACATCTTGCTAGGACAGCACTCTCAAAGTTGGATTGCAGCCTTATTTTGGGTGGAAGCTATGCAGATTTCAACCTGCACATTATCTATGGGTTGTCCTTATCCAAGTGTCCTCCCCCTTTGCTGCTTCTTCAGTAATTTGCAACCAAGGACTTTGGAATGTGTCTCTCTTTTTTCCAATAAATTCATATTCTCTTTTCGTTCAGCAACTAGTTGCAAGCCTAGATATGTCTAAAATGTTTAGCGTAACCAGGAAGGACAAGCCTTCTCACCTCACCAAAAATTCTTCGACTTAAAATTTCCTTGCCTACAGTATTAGCCGCATATGTCATGCAATTGGGTCATTCTTAAATTCATGTTGTGGGAGTTGCCTGTGCCATTGACTTGCCATAGGTCCTATTCCATATGGGAAGTTAGCCATGAGACGATGAGAAGCATATCATCCTTCTATACACCAACTAATACCCATCTCCTCTTGGCATCCACTGGAATTTAGATGCACTAGCTATTGACACAGGAAATGTGGACTTGAAATCGCATTATAGGATAACATGGATCTGCATAATACCAAGGGCCTTCTGATCCCAAAATAATTACATGGAGCAAAATAATAGCTTGCACAGCCCACATTCCTTTCATGGAAGCCATGAAACATCCTCAAAGATGTTCAAGAACATTTTAATTTATTTGGCTATTTGTGTTATCTTGTCCTATTTCCTCCTCTTTTGTATTTTAATATGTTTCATAGGTTCAATTGGCAATAGAAACTACTGAAATGCTACTTTTCCATTGCTCTGATTTCCTAGGAGTAAGTTCTATTTTTTGAATGCCCCTTTTTCATGCCTTATACCTTATTCTTTATAATTAAAGAATACACGAATTTTAATCAAGTGCTTATGTGTCCATCTTTTCTCAGGTATGGGACTACACAGGCCTGGGTTACACCAGGTACAATGCAAAGGATGTTGGTAGAGAAATTCTAGGGTGAGAAAGATTTCCCGCTACTTAGTTTCATTCTCTTTACAACATTGCTAACTAAATGTGGTATAGGTGCGTAGTGGAGAATAAGGTGCTTCAGAGTTCTCTTCTGTCACGTTTACAGGTATCTCATTGACTTCCTCTCTTCTAATTCTTTATATATAAGTTGGTAGAATGGGGTATATAATGTGGAGGTGCTATGCTGTACTACTCGTAATCTTCTTCTGAGGGTTTCTATGGAGGATCTCTGCAGTGAAAGCTTGCGGAATCTCATTTTTCAAATCAAGGTTCAGTGGAGGGATACTTAATTCGACTTAATCAATACTAGTAGTAGACTAGTAGCTGTTAGATATTGATATCTTGTGTCTTTCTCTCTCGTATATTAAATGTGACTACTATGACATATATTGATACTGCATAGCAGTTCATTAGGTATATCGGGCATTGTTGTCTTCTTACTGCTCTTTTCTTGGACTTCCACGTAAATGAGCTCAAGCTCACGTCTTTTTCTTGTAATTTCCAAGTGGTCTTTTGTCATGATATAAAGGCCTAATTTTTCTGAGATAAGCTTTTGTACAAACATCCTCACATGGAATCCAATTGTTGATATGATGCTGGTGGTCTTCTTAAACCTGTTCTCTATCCTAGTGGTCTTTCTTTGGGAAAATCTGAGTATTTGGTTACTGCTACTACCATTAATATGAAGATTTTCCATCCATAAATGTTTCAATCTTCCAGACCAGACTCAGACATTACACCAATTCAACCTGCTTATAGTTCAATGCAAGCGCTACTTTATAATTATATACTGGAAATACCGTTGTCCTTTTGCTGTTGTAACTTGTAATGGCATTTGTCACTTACTTATAGTGCAATTTGTATATGAGCCCTAGGGTTCATTTATTTTTTTGGTACATCTGTTTCACATCTGTTTGTATTCTCATTCCTAATATAGAAGAAAATCTTGAAGCAAATCTTAATGTCAGAGTAAATGTTAGAAATGGTTTTGAATTTTGCTAATAGTCGAAGTTCTTTCTGATCTATAGGTTTTCTTTTATCAAGCCAAATTTTTGGAGATAAGAGGTATTGGATAAATGAAAATTCTTGACACTGACTCAAAAATTTTTTGTTTAACCGAATTTTGGTATAACATCTTGTCGTTTGATGAAATTTTTAGCAACATAGACAAGTATATATTATGTAGATTTATTGCTTCTCTTTAGTATTCGCTTTGTCATGCAATGATGGAATATAAACATTATTAATAATTGTTATTCTGTGGATGAATAATATGTGCATGAATTTTTTATAGTTCTGCGGACCTGTACTTATATTTTTAATCAATGCTTATTTCAACACTGAGCTTCTGCAATTTGTTTAGGACCTTCTTTTAGCATCTGTAAGTTTGTTGCAAGATTTTCAAAGAAATTATATGTCAACAGGATGCAGGAGTTGGTGAGAGAATTTACCCAGCTAAGTTGACCTCTATGTCACTACAGTCACACTTTCCCTCTGCAGTTGATATGCTAGATATCGAGACATCAAATTATTCAAGCCGAACCTCTGGAGACCCCAAACGTCACGGATGCTTAGCAAAGTTGGATCTAAGTGATGGAAATACTCTCTACACAAAACTTGTGGTAATCTTCGGTGTCCCGTCATTGCATGTTATGCTTGTTTATGTTCTTTTCCCTTCATTGCATGTTATGCTTATTTATGTTGCTTACTTTGTCCAAGCATGAAGAGAGGGATGAGAAATCTTTCTATGAGAAAGTATACTGGAGTTGAATCAGCTATAGAAAACCATGGTCTAATGGTCACGACTACTGATGAATGTTGACACCCCATTTTACGTCTAGCAAATTCTGTGGTTTCTAAAACCCTTAGGACCACACTGTCCTAGTAAACCCAAATCCATAGTCCACATAGCCTACCCTGTGACCCAGAACCATTTTGCCTACCCAGTACCCTGTAGATACCCTGTTTTCACCCAAAGTCCTGCAAACACCTTGTTTTACTAAAAAAATCACCAAAAATAGTAAAATAACTCTTTTTGACTCAAAGTTTCTCTGGGAGTTTCACAACAGCCTGAACTACACATCAGAGCTGAAATTTTCAATTTTGGTCAATTTTTGCTTGGGCGACACTAGGTGTGTCGCCCAACTCAGACTGGGCAACATGCTTTGTGCCATCCACCAGACCTCGCCCAACCCAGTTTGACCCGAAATCTTCTATTTTTGGTAGGACAACTCACTGGTCAGTCCTGGGTAGAAAGTTGCTATTTTGGGCAGTCCTGACCTTGGCGACACTGCCAGTGTCGTCCATCCCTGATTGCCGAAAAACGACAGTTTCCGCACAAGAATGATCCCCTGCCATTTTGGGCCAACTTTCCCCCACTTTGGCCAAATTTGGCTGGGCGACACTGGTAATGCCAACCAGATCCGGTACCCCAGAAAGGCAGTCCAGGGTTGGCAATTGGCTGGTGATGGAAAGTTTCCCTTTTTCAAACGATTTCAGTTTATAAAAAGTTCATTTTCGTGGCCATTAAGGAGGGGAGGAAGATTGAAACCCTAGCCCCTTGGCTCAGAGAAAGTTAGGCCCTGGACCTCTTAACTTCGTGAGCTTATGAAACCCTAATCTGAAAAACCCTACCTTAAGCTTGAGAAACCTTAACCTAGACCTAAGGAACCCTTGTTCTTCAATCATCTATAGGGCACAACATCCCTTTTAAATCAGAGATCTTCTGGTTAACTTCTAAATCAGAGAGGCTAAGAGGACGTTGGTTCTGATACGGGTGAGCCCTCTAAGGCTCAAGTGTCCCGAGCTATCCGGCTCGGTTTGGTATTGTTCTCTTGCCTTTTCTTTCTTCTTCTTCTTCTTACTATTTTGATTTTATTTTGATTAAGTTTTTTGGTCAGTTTGCTGCTTTAAACTCGTGTTTTAATGTTGTGGATGCTGGCTCTGCCACAGATCTGAGAATGCATCTGCTCATTTTTGGGTAGATCTGAATTTGATTTGTTCCACTTTCTCTACCACATTATTTTTATCAGTTTAAGGTGTCAAAATCCGAGAGATCTTCGTCGAAAGATCTGTCCGATTTTCATCATAAACTGTTTGGAGCCCACCGTGGGGCATTTTCTTTTTGAATTTTTTTTTTTTATGAAAAGAAAAGTTTTGAAATGAAATTTTTAAGATTTTTTTTTTTGTTTTCTCCTTTTTTTTTTTGAAGCGTGGGTCTTACAGTTTAACCACTTGTGACCCCTTTGGTGGACATTTTCTTTATTATGTTTTATCCAAAGATGATAAAAGGATTTCCTTATGGGATCGTGAGAACTCAAAGGTCTCGAAGTTGTCCTTTCACCTTTGGAGCTTTTATCCTGTGCTTCGTTGGTCCATGAAGAGTTCTTTGGATTCTTGCCGAGCTTCCATTTTGGAGAGGTCTCGACATTCTTCCAGGGTTCGTCGAAGTCATTTCGGTTTTCCATTCATGTCACCCTCATACATCTTTCTGAGGTGTCTTCGTCTTAGGGTTTGCTTGTGCAGTATTGTTGGACCTTGCAAGTATTTGTTGTACTTGAGTGTTTTGCTTGTGCAATACTGTTTTAACCCACAGGTACTTGTTTATACTTGAGGTTTTGAATCGAAAATTTTTTGTTCTTTTTTTTTTCTTTACCCGTGATGCCTTTTCAGGTTTTCACACGTCCATATTTTTTGTTTTTTTGATGCCTTTTCAGGTTTTCACCACACTTTTGAGCTCGTTACGGGTAGTATTCTTTGAGATGCATCGCATTAAGGGGTCGTTGAGTTCGTACCCCTCCTGATTTTTGAACTTGTAAGAATTGCCTGCGTGCACTCGGGTAACCATGAATGACCCCTCCCAATTAGGTTTGAACTTGCCTGAAGGGTGTGGATTTGCTGTAGTGTGAAAGATTTTTTTGAGTATCATGTCCCTTTTTCTCTGATTTGTCGAGGACCAACTTTTCCTTGGTATGCCCTCTCGATTCTACACTGGTAAGATGATATTTTGTGTTGCTCGTAGTTGTCTTTCATCCAAAGTAACGAGGGCAGCGATTCGTGCTTCGATATTTTGTTCCTCATGAATTTTTGTGAGTAAGCACTCGGAGAGACGGTATCTCAACTTTAATGACCATACCATACACAAATGAGTATGAGGTCATGCCAGTAGGAGTCTTCTCGGGTATCTAGTAGGCCCATAGTGCGTTATTTAGCTTTTCGTGCCAATCTCTGTCACCTTCTATTATTCTGTCTATAACTTTGAGAAGTCCTTTGTTCGTGGCCTTTGCTTGTCCATTTCTTTGAGGGTAGTAAGGTGAAGAATTTTTGCGTTATCCAAAACTTTTTGCATACCTTCGTGACCTTTTCATTTTTGAAGTTAGATCCATTGTCAATAATGATCGACTTAGGAACGCCGAATCTGAATACAATGTTGTTCTTTATGAAACGGGCAACATGTCCTCCAATTTTAACAAATGATGCAGCCTCTACTCATTTTGTGAAGTACTATATAGCCGTTAATGTAAAATGGTGGCTGTTTGAGACTTTGGGTGAGATCATTCCGATGATATCAAGACCCCACATGACAAAGGGCCATACGGGCGGTATTGAGTTGAGTGGTACAGACGGTGCATGGATGAGGTCACCATAAAGTTGGCATTTGCGACACCTCTTAACGAACTTCCAACAATTTTCTGAGCTAAGGTGGTTGCCCCAGAATGACCTCCTTCATTGTGTAACTCTGTCAGTACTTGGTCGATTTTTAGCTGATCGAGACACCGTAGAATGATGCCATCGACGGACTTCTTGAATAGGAGATCACCTCTTACTAAGAATCCCATAGAAAGCCTTCGAAAGGTTTCTTTATCCTTTTTGGTGGCTCCTTCGGGTATAAACCATCTTTCAGCAGGGACAGAACATCGTGGAACCATGGTTTTACTTTAACTAACGCATCTGAAGCCACAAGAGACACTTCCCCATTCTCATTTTCTTGCTCTATTTCTTTTTCGATCCTTGGTGGAGAAGGGTCATGTTTGTTGCTGATGTAGAATGACAACATGGTGATTTCTGAAGGAATATCAACCATAGAGGCAAGGGTCGCAAGGCTGTCGGCGAACGGATTATTTTCCTTAGTTACGTGCTGAAAGGTGATTTTCTTAAAATTCCCCCTATGTTTTCAAAATTTATAAAAAAGACTTTTAAAAACGAAGAAGCTTGGACACCCGTATATAATGTTTATCACGTTGCCGCGATTACCGCGTTGTCGCGATTATTGCGTTGCCGCGATTACCGCGTTGTTGCCTTGTCTCTCTCTTCGGAATCGGCCAGACAAATCTCTTCCTATAGAAAGCCTCAGGAAACCCTAAGAAAATCAAAGAAAATGCCAGATTTAAGAATCTGAAGTTGTGAAAGCCCTTGACGTCATGTGGTTAGAGGGCACAACAACTAATCTCTCTAAGTCATTGCGCTCACCTAGCTTACCCACCTAGGATTTTCCTCCTAGGGTTTTCGACGTGAGATTTCAGATTCTTAAATATGACATTTTCTTTGATTTCCTTAAAAAAATGCCAAACTGTTTACTATGAAAATCGGACTGATCTTCCGACATAGATATCTCAAATTTTGACATCTTAAACTGATAAAAATAATGTGGTAGAGAACGTGGGACAAATCGAATTTAGATCTGCCCAGAAATGAGCAGATCCGCTCTCAGATCTATGACAGAGCTAGCATGATCCAAAACATTAAAACACGAGTTCAAAGCAGCAAACTGACCAAAATTAATCAAAATAAAATCAAAATATTAAGAAGAAGAAAAAGAAAGAAAAGGTAAGAGAACAATTCCGAACCGAGCCAAATGGCCCGGGACCCCCAAGCCTTCGAGGGCTCGCCCGTATCAGAACCAACGTCCTCTTTGCCTCTCTGATTCAGAAGTTAACCAGAAGATCTCTGATTTAAAAGGGTTGTTGTACCCTAGAGATGATTTAAGAACTAGGGTTCCTTAGGTCTAGGTTAAGGTTTCTCAAGCTTAGTGTTAGGGTTTCATAAGCTCACGAAGTTAAGAGGTCCAGGGCCTAAATTTCTCTGAGCAAAGGGGCTAGGGTTTCAATCTTCCTCCCCTCCTTAATGGCCACAAAAATGAGGTTTTTATAAATTAAAATCGTTTGAAAAAGGGAAACTTTCCATTACCAGCCAATTGTCAACTCTGAACCCCCTTTCTGGGGTCCCAAGTCTGGGTGACACTGGCAGTGTTGCCCAGTCAAATTTGGCCAAAGAGAGGGAAAGTTGGCCCAAAATGGCAGGGGATCATTCTTGTGCGGAAATTATCGTTTTCGGGCAGTCTGGGCTGGGTGATACTGGTAGTGTCACCAAGGTCAGGATTGCCGAAAACAACAACTTTCTGCCCAGGACTGACCAGTGAGTTGTCCTACCATAAACGAAAGATTTCGGGTCAAACTGGGTCGGGCGACACTCGGTGTGTTGCCCAGTTTGGTGGGCGGCACAAAGCGTATCGCCCAGTCTGAGTTGGGTGACATTAGGTGTGTCGCCCAAGCTAAAATTGACCGAAATTGAGAATTTTCAGCTTGAGGTGTGCAGTTCAGGCTGTTGTGAAGCTCCTAGAAAA